TCACGCGTCATTATTACGCACCTTCCCGATGCGCCGCATCACTTCCGGTGTCCCTATCATTTCGATTCTCGTACGCCTGACGGTAGATTTTCTTGATTTGAGTGTTCGCTCTCTATAAATAAGGGTGGAGTGCCTTTTGAGTGATCTTTTCCATTTTCCAGCTTCTGAACCTGCCCCCCTTTTCTCTTTTCTTCTTCTTCTTGTGTTCTTTCTCTCCTTTCGAGTTTGAGTGATTCTTGATTCTTGTTACTTTCACCTCTTTTAAGTTCTTGTTTTTTCTATGTTTTACAAGCAACCAAAAATGGTTAATGCGCCCCCGATTTTTGGTGAGGCTCCTGAACCCACCCTCTTAGCAGTGAGAATGCCTCCTCACGACGAGGATGTTGTTGTTGATGTTGAGGATGAGAGCTTTTCCACCGTGGAGGAAATCATTCTTCGTAACGATAGAGCCAGGTCGGACTTCTCGAAGGCGACTACAGATGAACCTGAACCTGTGCAGTTCGAAATGGATGCGACCGCCTTGGCCGAACTTAGGGCCAAATACAACATCCTAGCCCATATCGACTTGGTCCCGGCTGGCCGTGACATAATCCATATCCATCGCCCTAGGTACTGTGCCTTTTACGCGTACCCCTTCCAAGTTGGCTATTCTAATATTTAAGATTTTAAAATTTACTAAACTATTGATATTAAATCTTTTCTTATTTGAACGATATAGAAATTCCTAATATTTAGGTTATATGAATTTATTCCTTATATTTTCAAATAATAAAGCTTACTATACAATCTAAACCACACGTGTAAGCACATTTGGACGAGCAAGATATTTTTAAATAAACGACTTGCCTACAATATAAAATAAATAATTTGTAGTAATTAATACTACAATATACTTTAATTTTTTATTTACATATTGTAATATATACCCTTATTAAATTATAAATCCAAGTACGATATTTGAAAAATAAAGTATAGATAAGATACTCAAATTTAGATATTCAAATTAGCAATAAAATAATACTGTAATTTATAAGAAATTTAAGATTGTTTAGAATATAACTTCCTACATATATCTTTTAATCTATGCTTATTTAAACAATATAAGAAGTCAAATAATATTATTCGTGGGATTTTAAGATTTTATTCTCATCGATAAGGATTCACGCGCAACGTGCATACTCTAAGATTATTTTGTATATAATTATGTATATTGGATAGAAAAATAAACAGTAAATTCAACCGATTATTCGTGTAAAGATCCCAAAACAAATTGCCCCAATTTAAGCTCAAACTTCGCCAAGTTCAACCCAAATGGCCCATCCAAAAGACCCATCAGCAACTCATGTTGTATTATTTTACCTATATGTATTATATTAGAAATTTATTCACCATCATTGTTAGGTTTTAACTTAATTACAAGTTGATATATAATTTACCAAAATTATATACAAATTAGTATTAATGAGTATCCCTTTATATTAGGAATTAAATAGGGAATATTAGTTATTTCCCCATCCCCTTATACATGTTCTCTCTGTGTGTGTGTCTGTATCTGTTCTTTCCCCAATTTTTCTTCCTTCAATATTTTCTGTTTTTTATTATTTCATGTTGTATTGAGTTTTAATGGAATCCATCAATAAATTTCAATCATTTTACTATAAAGTTTTAACGTAGCAATTTCCTTTCATATTGCGCAATTGGTGTTCGAATTAAAATTGTCAATAAATAAATTTTGAAGGTGTTTGACTCTCCACCATTGGCAGCCATTAAAAAGCTTTAAATTCGAATTCGGAATTTCAAAAAATATTTTTTTGTATGGATTGGGTGTTGTTGCAACAAATAAGAATATTCTTCGGAGTTTACATCTCAATTTTGAGAGTGTTTGGTGAAGGTTAGAGTTGATTTTGGCTAGATTTTAGATTGAAACTCGAAAAAAGAAGAAGATCATATTGTCTTATAGTTGTATTAAACTTGTATTAAACATACAAAATTGTACAATATACATACAAAATTGTATTAAACTTGTATTGAAGTTGTATTAAAATTGTATCTACGTTGTATTCTCTTATAGTTGTATTTTTTTATTTGAATATTATATAAAAGTTGAAAAATAGTTGTATAATGTAATTGTATGAAATTTGTATTTAACTTATAAATACTATCTTTTTACATAAAGTTGTTGATATGTATCAAAATTGTATTAAGAGATGAAGTTTTGATTGAAATTTCACAGAGGACGAAGAACACACCACATACAAAAGATATACAAATCATATACAAAACACATACAAAAGACATATTATATAAAATTTGTATGGAAATTGTATTTAAGTTGTAAGATGTTATAGTTGTATTTAACTGGTAAAAATGATGTATGAAAGTTGTAGATAAGCTATAAATAGTTGTATATTATATAATTAGTTGTATAAAAGTTATTTTAGTTTATATGTTATTGTGGATGTATCAAATTTATATCAAATTTGAATATTCCGGCATTCAACTCGTTTGGTTTAGGTACCTACCTATCGATAGTATCTCTATTGCTTTGGTTTGGCGTTACTTCCTGGTTCAAGCTATTAAAATAATGTTATAAAATTTGGTTCTCAATTAAGTCTTGAACTATTTTATGTCATTGTGATTCGACATCATGGAATTGCTATACTACAGTTAATGCTCTATTGGAAAGAGGAGGAGAGAGGAAAAGGATGTTTGCACAATTATACAGGGTTTGGGTATTGGATCCAGCTTCTCAAATACTTATTGTGAAGAAGGAACAGAAGTTGGACCCCAGTAAATTGCGACACTTGACAGAATATGTCTTCCATCTTGAGCACTAATCAGTTTGTTAGTTCCGAGATTTCTAAATCTATTAGGATCAGTTTTCTCTTCCTTAGTCCAATGGTTGGAGAAATTAGTAGGTGGCCAAATTTATACATCATATCTAAATGTGGGTTTAATGATTTTTGTGTCTCTTGAAAAGTATATTACTACCATGGCATAATGAATTATCCTTAAAGGATGTAGATCATTAATGAATTTGGTCGCCGGAGGGCGTTTGTTGTTAGATAAATATATTTTTAATTTAAAAAAAAAAGAGTAGAGAAAAAAAAAGTGTAAATGAATTCCTTAATTGAAGACACTAATAATAGATTGTATAGGGAGAGAAGCAACAAAGAATAGGGAAAGAGGAGAAGAGAGATAAAGGAAAATGGTATTATTAAATCCCCATAATTTAAGGCACTAATAATTGATTGTATATATATTGTAAGCAAACTTTATTTAGGGCGGCTAATATACAAAATTTTGACAATTTTAGTAAATAAGTTTCAGATATTATATAGGAACGAAAAACTCCCTAGTAGAATTATCCAATTCTCACGAAATACCATAAAAAAAACCTCAATAGAAGGACCATTTGGCCAAAGATTTTGTCAATTTTTTTCCAATTTTTTTGGCAAATACATGTTTGTTCATAAATTTTATCCATACTTTTGGTAAATTCCCAAATCCCAAAGCTAGTTTTGGCCCAAAATTTTACTATTACATTTTTTAAAAATTTTAAAAATTATCCCAAACTTTTGTATTTTATAAAAGAGCCCACCATTTATTATTTTGTAACAATGCTGCTTCATCTTTTCGGTCATCTGATAGCTTATTATGTAGTTTATTATAAAAATAATAATTTTGTATCAAATTTATTTATGTTCAGGACTATAATTTCTGTTAATGATAAGGAATGTCATTGATGAATGTACTGTTAGATATTTATGATAGTTTTTAGAACTTGTGAGCGTAAGTTATATTTCATATATTTTTTTTAAAAAGAGCGAAATATGGTGCCAATTAAATTCAGAGTTGTTCAGCCATGAGCAAAGTTTGTCCATCTATTTTTGTGCAAATGCGTGCTTAGCGTGTTTCAGTGGCCATCCTATTTTGTGCAAAAATTCATTATGCATCAAAATGGAGATACAAAAGAGAAATAATGACAAGATGTTGAGGGGCGATGAAAGTTTTGCAGAGCACATACACAAAAGCATAGAAGCAGCATTCCATGGTTCTGACTCTGATGAAGATGATCTCTCTCATTCTCAAGACCCTGATTTAGGGATATAAACAAACATTGAGGGCTTGGCTGATGAATTGCGTGAGCTGATTTCAAAGGGTGCTGAAGAGTTGAAGGAAAGTAAAGTCCAAGATGACGATGCTGATCTGAAATAGACGAGATTAGAACTGATGATGACGTGAAGAGCCATTCATTCAATTTGGCCTAAATTTTGGTTCTATATCAGCATTGTTATATAACAACCATTCAGTATAAAAGCCAAGTTTCTTTTGAAACCAATTTTCATGCTAGTCATAATATATATTCTCTGTAACAGCATTTCACTATAACAACCAAAAAAATCTGGAAGAAACGAGACCGTTATATCACTACTGAAAAATTGGTCTACAGTAACGGTTGGAAAACCGTTCCAACAGACTGCAAAACCGTTTCCATAGGGATATTGGAACGGTTTAAAGACCGTCACATCAGCCGACGTACTCATAGGTCTACTGGAACGGTTCTTGCAACGGTTTGCATCGCCGTGACAATAGATAAGTCTATCGCAATGGTTTTCCCTTTCTCTGTTGGAACGGTTCAAAACTGTTACTGTATTGTTTATACAACGATTTTTAACAGTTACCATATTATTTAAAGCAACACTTATGTAAGCTATTGCTACGGTTATGTTGGATATAGCCACGGTTTTTTTAGGCTATGGTAACGGTTATATTTATATTTGGAACAGTTTATGGGACCTATTGCAACGGTTTACATAGTCTACTGGAACGCCATTTATGTCCTATTGGAACGGTTCTGGTAGGCTATTGTATCAGTTCAGTTAAAACCAAAATATAGCACATGTTATAAATAAATATTTATACATATAATAAATTATAATAATATTAAAATTTAAATACATAATAAAATGAAACTATTAATAATATAAAATTATCCATAAAGCAAATGTTCTACCTCATGAGTGCATAAGTTTAGTACATTTCAAAAGAGTAAATAAGTTTCAAAAATGTTGGTAACAAAAGATTACTAGAACATTCATCTATAACAATACAAAATTCATTTCAAGTAAGGTCTAGTTCTTCATCGTCTTCATCATTCATTTCTTGATCTACTCCACCTACAAAAGAGGATAAATAAAGTTATTACCCTTCAACAAAATCAGGTCTAAGAATACTCAAGCATTTAACTATTTTCGTTCTTCTTTTATTAATCCAACTTATTCATCTCAACAAACTATACGCAACATTATAACAATCTGATATTATTACCAAATACCAAGACTTTCAAACTATTAAGCTATGATGGCAAAGTAAAGAATAATTCATAAGAAGAATCACAAACATAATTACAAAACTAGCATGAAACATCAACTATTTAAACCGTTATTTCAGCTGATCAATGACCATTATATTGCCTCTCAGTAAGTACACCAGAGTGATAAACATTTAGGTGATACATTGCCTCTGGCACCAATTCCTTTAACTCAGGATGTGCAGCAATTAATGAGCAATCTACTCCCTCGAGAGCAGTGAATACTCGTGCTTGTTCCAGAGCCTCACTGTTACCAGCATGTGATACTGGGTAGCAAAGGAGAACCAATCCATTCAATTTTGATTGTTCATTTCCTCTCAACAGTCTCATCACAGGAGGAACACCTCTGAATTCGATAATTGTTTTTGAGTGCTTCATACCCAAGAAATTTTGAGGACAAGTAAACTTCCCAAGTGAGGCAGCAGCTTCTGCTGCCACGTCTAGGTTCCTATTACTAAGTTGCTCAACTAAATGACCAATTACACGTGTTTCTCTCGCTGGAAATGTCCAAGCAAGTGAACCAACTAATCTAACAGTTTTGTAGAGAAACTAAACAAAACATTTTAAAACAATGACATTTCTGAAATTTAGCCCTAAATATCAGTAAGTTGCATATTACCAGTATATTTTTACTGTATAAGTTGCATATTATCAGTAGATAGGTGTTATCTTTAACCACTTTAAGTTCAGATATGCCTTATTATGTGATCTAAGCATCAATAAGTGACAAAGACGGATATGTACACTGGCTTTATTAATTCTATTGAAGGTTCAACATTTCAGGATCCTTGAATATGTTCATGTNATATATATATATATATATATATATATATATGTATGTATGTATAGTTGAGACCCCTACTTCACTCAACACTTATATTAACAGCCGTGTCCAGGCTTCCCAAATCATCAATCCGCTAAACCAACAGAGAGATCAATGCAGGTAGGAAAGTTAGTTTTAATTTTGTTTGGACCTAACGAGCATGATATCTTGTTGTGACAATATAGTCTAACAATTTTTTCAAATTGCAAGATCCAAATATCACTCCAGTTCATGATTAAGTTCATCTATACATAGTGATGTCAATAAACAGGTTACACCAACAAACTTTCCATTTTGGATCCTACCGGCATAGTACATGTTCAACATCATTTCATCAAGCTATTAGGTTACCAAAGTGAACAGTTACTCATATTGACAAAAGAAGTCTTCTCAAATAGTGTCTTAGACATCACATGATCATGAAAGATCCAAAAACATAAATGGTCAAAACTAAATAGATAGATGAATGCAGATCATCATTTAGCAGGACTACTGTGGCACCCTAGGTTAAGATGTACCCATACCAGTGTTTTTGAGAGCGCGAAGCACAAAAAAGCGACAAGGGCTCGCCTCGCTTCAAAAGCGAAGCGCAAAGCGAAGCGCACGCTTTATTAAAGTGAAGCGCAATTCTTAAAAAAACATAATATAAAATTATAAATAATCAAAAAATTCAATTTAAATACTTAAAAGTAGGTACTAGGTACCACCAAATCATCTAAAACCATCCACAAACCATAGGACAAGCAAAATAGAAATAATACATATATATAATTAATTTTATATGCTGAAATATAATAACGCAGAAGCAGAAGCAGAAGCAGAAGTAGAAACAGAAGAAGCAGAAGCAGAAGCAGCAGAAGAAGCAGAAACAGACGCAGAAGAAGAAGCAACAGAAGCAACAGAAGCAGAAGAAGCAGAAGGAGAAGGAGAAGAAGCAGAAGCAACAAAACCAGAAGCAAAAGAAGCAGAATAAGAAGTAGTAGAAAAATAAGAAATGAGAAGAAGAAAGGAGAAGAAGAAATGAAGAAGAAAGGAGAAAGAAATTACCTCGACTGGAGAAGTAGTGGTCGAGCTCGAGCTTGAGAGAGAAGGGGTGAACCCTAGCCTTTTGTTGATGTCTCTGTTTTGACGGGGAGAAGCAGTGGTCTATTGTGACTATTTAGGGGTCTTTTTTTAGTGAAGCGTGCGCTTTTCAAGATCGCATTGCTTCGAGCAGCCAGAAGCGATATAGTGTTGCTTCGCGCTTTAAGCGACGAAGTGATCGCTTTTCTAATGGGTCCCATACCTTCATTAAATTATCATGATGACATACAAACCATTTTTTAACTAGACAGTATCAATATAGACAAAATATGACTACGATCTATGGTTCTTTAGTTAAACAATCAAATTATCGTGATGAGATAGGCACCATTAGGGTAGGCACAACTGATTAGAATTGCTAAAAATATTGGCAAATTACATCAAAAAGATCTTAAACAAAAGAAGCAAAAAGTTCCAACACACAGACGTTGCATCTCTACCTTTTAAATTCAAGTGAAATTGATTGTTATAATATTTGGTACGTACTGACCTTGATTGTTGCTACCAGTAGATGGTCGACTGTTTAGTTGAACAACAACTTGTTGTGCAGAGGAAGCATCTACAGGTGAATGTGTACTGAACCTTAACATGTCAGGATCAAGTTGCAAATCTGGGTTCAGACGCTGAAGTCGTACGATGACATTCATTGTAATATTTTGTTCCATAGCATCCTTTTGTTCGTTCAACTTTTCATGCATTCTTTGTTGCATCCTCTCTTCCATTTCCTCTATTTTTTGCTGCATCCTATCATCAGAAGATCCAAGATTTCCTTTTTGCCCTTTTAACACAGTCTTGGTAACCCCTCATCCATACAATCTCACACGACCTGGATGTTCAGGTCCCATGACTGATGTAAAAGCGTCAGTTGAATGATTGCCATCTTCACTTTCCTGAGTAAATTGTATTCTTTCCATTTCAGCCTACAAACCAAATGCGAGAAAAAAGAGTTTTAAGTAACTAAAGTTGAATCAATAATTAAGAACAAATAAATAAGCATGACAAACTTTAAATTAGAAATTTCGTACAATTTTACTAATTGTATTGTCATATGAGTTTTTGTATACTCGGCCAAGTTTTCTTTTTCTTATAGACACAAACATGTCCTTACTTGATACAGTATCCGAAGTATCAGAGATTTCTTTCTTTTTTTCCTAGTTACATGAAAACAAGTATAAGAATCTTTCCATATAAAACTAGCAAGTTCATAATTTTAAAAAAATAAGAAAGATAAAACATCAAACCTCGCGAATTAGAGCAAAAGGTGTTCTGCCAGCTGTGTGTGGACACTTCAACTTATTTCGATTCTCTGTATTGGTTTCGGATATTTTCTGCAAATAAATGAGTCAACCAAATAGCAACCAACAATTATGCATATTACCCACATCATGACCCAAGACTACACTCATAGTATTAAAGCTTGCTTGATTAAGTACTGTCACTGCTCTAGAAAAAAAGGTTGAAAGTCAGGTAGTTGCAAATTCATCTCTATAACTTCTTTGATTAAAGGACTTGGTAGTAGATGTTGAAGTGAATACATCTGAAGAGCTTAGATATATTCATCCCAATACCATACACTTAGATGAATGTTAAGGGGAGATTAGTTAGCCAATACTGCAGCATCCTCTTAAAATATATGTGCACAGATATGCATTTTGAGATTTAAGGGACATGTGTATCTCATAAACTGGTATCATTTTTCGTGCAAGTGCACAAGAGCGAAGCAACATCAGATTATACTTTATTTCAGCAAGAAGATTAACTTGTGCCTCTACAAGTGAGATACAGACAACACAAGACAAAATTTCCTGTACATGGATTTTACTCACTATGGACTTTATAGGATCTTATTGGAAAACCAAACAGGATTGTGGTTTTACAAGTTTTAAAATAAGTTAATTAACTGAAGTTGAGTTTCCAAGTATGATGATTGCTTGTTCATTTTTCTGTATAATATATAAGCTAGCTGCCTTTAATGCCTCAAATTGAAATGGTTGGACTATAAAATGATACCAGTAAGACAGGGCAACTACTACCAAAGGGTGGCTGACAATGTGACTGACTGAGCTGGGACTTAAAAAGCTATGGCAAGAAGTCAGAACAGTTCCTAAGTGTGACTGACTCACCGAAGACTAGACTGACTCACCAAAGACTAGACAAGAGATTCTGGATGTAATTACCTTATAAGGATCGGAGTTCCAATAGTTAAGAAGATCCTTAAGGTGAGATTCCGAAACATCTACTGGCCTATTCTCCATTCGAAGCTAATCATTCTCATAGGCTGTGAAGTGGGTTGTCTTCAATTGACTCTTATACTTTCTCCAAGCACTACAAACTGATTCAAAAATCCATTTTTTCGCCTCGTCGGGAATGTCATATTTTTTCTACAAATTTAGTGCAATTGGGTTAGTGTAAGAAATAATAAATATCATCCATGTTTATTGGACATTGGAAACTTCATACCTTGATATATTTCCACATATCATCTTTTGTATCTAGTTTCCTCCAATTAACTACATTAAGAGGACAAAAAGTCCCACTCCTTGCCAATGTGCCAAGGAAGCTACCCAACTCTTTTACAACCTCTTTAGCAGAACCAATGGGTTGATTAAACTCATTTAGAGTGATTATTTTACGCTCTTTTCTAATATGAACACTTGGCATTTGAGTACGACCTCTTTTTCTTTTTGGCGAGGAGGGGTCTGCAATAGTACAAAACAAAGATAATCATTAATCACTATATTTAGTTAAGTTTATGATTACAATTTATATATATTTGCCTTGTTCCTCAAATTGTTCAATTGCTTCATGATTGGTAGAATCATCAGATCGTTCATGTGCTCCATGTGATGCAGGAGTGATGCAATCCATATTCGCTTGTTGCACTTGTTCATGTACTCCTTGTATTGCTAAAGAGGTGCAATTCTGTGGCACTTGCTGCACTTGTTCTTGCAATTAAGATCCACCTTCGGATTGTCGTTCTTAATTTGCATTTGACCTTATAGATTTCAAAAATATTTTTGTTGTCAACGACGAAACCTTTTGGTTTCGCAAAGATGAAGGTAATCCACTTTCTGATTGTCGTTCTTCATTTGTATTAGATCGTGTAGCTTGGAAGGTTCTTTTTGTTGTCAATGACGAAACCCTTTGATTTCGCAAAGATGCAAGTGATCCAGCTGGAATGCGGTTGGATATTTTCTTATATTTGCTTGAGCACCCTTCTTGATTCATGACTATTCAAATATTTTTCAGATTCTGAAAAGCAAACACAATATAGGTTAGCAAAGGAAGAGAACTGATTGACCAACATACAAAAGGAGTTGAGGTGCTTAGAAGTGATATCAAAGTGCAGNCCAACATACAGAAGGAGTTGAGATGCTTAGAAGTGATATCAAAGTGCAGATCAACATTTCAATATCACATGAAGAGAGGCACATCATGATAGGCATATGTTATCACTGTATCGCACACACAATCAACAACAAAACTGATAGCTTCAATGATGTGCGCATATGGTGCAAACATGGCCAAACATGTGTGCATCTGGTGCAAAATATCACTAAGATTATCATCAGAAAATAAGACAATGAATAGAATTTCAAGAAATTACCTAAGACCAAGTCTTTTAAAATGCTCCGCTCAAAATACAACCAGCAAAATATCACTCATTTCAGCACTAGCTCCAGCTCCTAGCTAACACCAAAAGAATCCAAGAAACCACATCAATCATAAAGAGGAGATAACTCAAAAAGAGTAAAATTTAACTCAGAGAAAAGTGGAACATTTACAAAAAAAAGTCTATAACGCCAAGAAAAAAAGAAGCTTGTTAGATTGTCCAAAGTCATGCCCATTTATATCTATTCTTGGATTTGAAATATGGATCATCTTTTTAGATTCTTTCCAATATTCTTGTCCTCTTGCCATGGACCAATAGCAATCAGCAACATGTAAGCAATGATGGCCTGTGATAAGGAATAGGATGCAAAATGCACCATGTAAAATATACTCTTGAAGAACCACAGAGTTGCTATAATTTCATGGAGGATAGAAATTACCAACTGTGCTTCACACTTGAAGACTTGGACAGCTGAACCAGAAGAGGACGTGGGAGAAGGGACGGGCCTCAACAACCGAACAAAAGTATCCGAAATCTCTATCAATTAATTCAATATCGACAATAATGTTACCAGATCTCAAATCCTGCAAAATTGAAGCATGTCAGAATAATTTTATAAAGGAAATAAACAAAAATAACCATAAAATATTTATTTAAAAAGGCATTATCACTCATTCAAAAAAGAATATACTTAAAAGATTTCAGAATTTTCTTATTTAATCATCTGTTTCCATCCAGTCCCAATCAGTATCATCAAACTCATCCTCCTCTTCCGATGTTTCCACTATTGTATCATGTGAATTTTGTGCATTAGATGGAGTATAAATGATATCAACGGGTACGTCTTCTCTTGACCATCTAATGTCAACATCAAGTAATCTAGATGAGGAACTAATGTCATTATTAGGTTCCCTCCAAAATGTATCTCCAATATTTGGACAGTTCTCTTTCTCTAGATCATACAAATCAACAGGTACTTTGCTCCTCGCATAATAAACATCTTTCTCAGTTGGATCCTCCACATAAAAAACTTGATAAACTTGTGATGCCAACACAAAAGGGTCATCTCTACTGCATAATCTATTGAAGTACACCCGAGTTAACTCATAATCATCTATTTCATTATGAAACCAATCACATCTAAACAATACAACCCTAAAACAACCCCAATAATCAATCTCAATGATATCCTGAATCGCTCCATAATATATAACCTCACCATCGATGGAATTTTGGTCCCTAGAACTAGCAAAACTATCTGTTATTGCCGATAAAGTCACTCCACTATTTTGAGTCTTGCATCGGAAATCCCGTTCTTTGGTATGAAATCGGTATCCATTAATAAAATATGTTGTATATCTTTTGGATACCATATTAGGTCCTTTGGCTAGCCATCTTAAATAATCTGGCACAACAATATTTTTAACTTTCTCTTTAAACCAATTGCTGAATTCTCGACTGTGATCCGTCGCTCTTACCCATGCATTTGATCTACTATGAATAACAATTAAATTCTTATGTTCCCTGCAATCAAGAACATTTCAATTTTAATCATATAATAAATTTTTTATATAAATATAGATAAATGTTTATATAATTTATCTTACTCGATAAACTTTTCCATTTGTTCATCTCCAGTATTGAACAGAGCATATCGATGTGTTTCAAAGCATAACTGCGAATCCATGAAAAAAGTATCTTTTTTCTTACTTCCAATTGGATGGCCTATATTAGGGAATATAGGTGACAAATTTTTAGAGCACTCATCATCCATAGTTTGGTACCTAATAAATTTTGTCTTAACGCCATCATGTAGATATCTCGAACAAAAAGTCAAGCACTCATCGGCCACAAACCCCTCTGCTATTGATGCTTCTGGACAAGACCGATTACGTACAAATGCCTTGTAATTACATAGGTTCCTCTCAGTGGTATGCATCCAACGGAGATGAGCCGGACCCCCAAGCTTAATTTCATTCACCAAATGAATAGGCAAATGTGGCATTATGTCAAAAAATATTGGATGGAAAATCTTTTCAAGCTCGCATGTTATTTCAACAATTTCCGACTGCATTGTTTCAAGATCTCTTTGCCTTATGACCTTACTACATATAGCTCTAAAAAAATTCCCAACCTAATCAAGGCCAATGAAACATGTTTGGGCAACACTTTTCTAACAGCAACCTGGAGCAAGTAATGCATTATAAAATGAGCGTCATGACTCTTGTACCCTGATATTTTCATCTCTTTCACTTGCACACGTTCTGAAATATTCGAAGCACAACCTTTTGGTAATTTAGCATTTTTTATGACAATACAAAATAAACTTTTCTGTTTTGGTTCCATGTAGAAACAAGATTTAGCCACACTTTCCATCACTATTTATTCTTGGTTGTAGCTCCTTTCGTATCCCCATTTCTTGTAAGTCATAGCGAAATTTTTTATGATCCTTTGATTTTCCATCTATTTCTAATAAAGTACCAAGCAAACTATCACATATGTTTTTCTCGATGTGCATCACATCAAGATTGTGCCTCAATTTGTTATGCACCCAATATGGCAATTCAAAAAAAAATGGATCTCTTTTTCCACGGACCCTTATCACTCCGAGGCCTTTTTTAGTGCTCTTTCCAAAGATATTGTTGAATTCAAGCAGCTCTTCAAAGAATTCTTCACCCTACAAGGGAGCAGGTGCGGGTCTATGTTCCTCCTTACCATCAAAAGACTTCTTATCTCTTCGGAATGGATGATCACGAGGCAAAAATCTTCGATGGCCCAAGTAACACATCTTGTGACTATGTTTGAGATATTGAGAACATGTGTCATAATTGCAAGTGGGGAATGCTAATCTCCCCTTAGTGCTCCATCCTGAAAGCATTGCTAATGCTGGAAAGTCACTAACTGTCCACAATAAGGCAGCACGCATTCGGAAAGATTGGTTGGTTTCAGCATCAAATGTGTCTATCCCAGTTTCCCATAGCTCCTTCAATTCTTCAATTAATGGACGTAGGTACACATCTATATCATTTCCGGGAGATGATGGACCAGGAATGATCATAGACAACATTATATACTCCGGCTTCATGCAAATCCACGGTAATAAATTATAGTTCATTAACATAATAGGCCACGTGCTATGAGAAATGCTCATGGTCCGAAACAGGTTGGAACTATCACTTGAAAGACCCAATCTAACATTCCGACGATCTCTAGAGAAGTTTGGATGCAAATAATCAAAAGCCTTCCAAGCTTCCCCATCAGCAGGATGTCTTATATTCCCATCATTGGGTCACTCATTAGCATGCCATCTCATTGCAGCAGCCGTTTCAGGACACATGAATATTCTCTGAAGCCTAGGCTTTAAAGGAAAGTACCTTAAAACCTTTGTAGGGATTTTAGAGTTTGCTTTAGTCAAAGGACTGGAACTCTTCCATCTTGAAGACCCACAAATAGAGCAATTATCCATATTCGCATTTTCTTTCCAAAATAACATGCAATCATTAGGGCATGCATGTATTTTTTCATAATGAAGACCCAAATCTTTTATCATGTTTCTAGCCTTGTTGAAAGATTCTGGTACCTGAGCAAATGGAAATGCCTCTTTTATCAACTCTAACAAATCAGAGAAAGCCACATTACTCAACCCATGCAATGATTTAAGCAAGTACAATCGAATAGTGAAACTCAGTTTACTAAAATTTTCACACCCCGGATATAACTCTTGTTTTCCTTCCTCCAGCAATTTAAAAAACTTATTTGCATCTTCAGATAGTCTTTCCCCAACTTCTTCTTCATCCTCTGCCTGGCCTCTATGTTTCTAAATGTATCATGAAGTAGTCCGTCAATATCGTCACGCATGGTAGAACCTTCATCATCATTGCTTGGATGAGGTGTATTTCTCGAGGAAAATCCTTCCCCATGGAAACCCCATTTGGTATAACCATCAACAAACCCATGAACAACCAAATGATCCTCCAACACATTTCTATAATACCAATAGCGATTCAGGCACTTTTTGCAAGGGCATAATATTTCATTTTCTTGGGAGGCTCTTTCAAATGCCTTATCAAGAAAATCATTCACTCCACGGATATATTCATCCGTCCATCTCAGGAGATTCATCCAACTTTTATCACCATTATCCATAGATATCTTATACGATAAAAGTAAATCAACAAAACTAATCAAATAAACCAAAATCATACTAATTTGACATTGACCACTGCTTTTAAGGCAAGACCCTCTACACTATAACAAGCACGTGAGCATCTGAAGACAACAAAGTGTTAATGTTTGATGGAACTAAGGACATGACTACATAATTGCATTCATGCTTTCCATTTCCAAAGAGTTGAGCACCTATGCCCGTGAAATTGTTGAACTTTTGTATTTATAGAAGCATAAATCCAATGAAAGACCAAGTCAAACAAAAGACAACATAGTCTCATCACAATCCATCAGAACAATATAATATACATGGTAGGAGAATAATAATTTACTAAAAAAAGAATATGTCACCAAAGTTCAGATTCTTAGCATGAGTTCTGCTAAAATCACGAGTAACAAGTATTCTCTAAGATTCAAACCCTTGAATTTTGGCAATTCTAAAGAACTTTATATGCGTAAAAGCTATATTAGTTCATCACAACTTACTGCAATAGCTCTTGCAATATTGTTAACCACGACATTTCTTTCATGGACAACTATTCTAGGATATTATTTACCTTTGTCATAGTTATATTAAAGGGCTAAAGAGAATAAAAGGATTTTAGATTTAAAACCAGATAAACTTCAAACATGTTAAAGATTTTCCTCTATTAGAGTTTTTCTAGGGTATGGGCAATTAAAGCAGTTAAGAGAGAAATTTCACCAGCATATTAGTGCATTTATGATAGATAAATCACGTGCTTGATTCAAGCTTCATATAAGATGTAATATAAAGCACTCATATACAAAATATTATGACCTTTTGCACAGGCGTGAAATTTTTCGTTAGTTAATTGCTTACCAACAGGCTGCTTGCATGTAGCTCGCCAAGAAACATATATCATAATGGATTTTAAAATATATACTTACATAATTGATAAGCTAAGAAAATGGGCATGGAATAACTATTTTATCTTTATTGTCTTAAGCTTATATGCATGCGTTGATTCATGAAACCATGCTTCAGTTCACAATATTATTTGAAAATGAGAGTTCATAGAACCTAACAAGCAGGAACATATAGTAGATATCCAGTTTAGAGCAAAGTATACAATGAAAAAGAGAGGGATAATAGGAGTTTGGCCTTGTTAAAGCAATAATCTGGAACCTTTCTTTAATAAAGCAACAATCTTGGACTTTCACATGTAAGAGCTTTCTAAGCTAGAAGTAATAAGTATTATGTAAATAGGTGGAGCTATATTAACTCACCAAACATCATCGGCGTCCCTAGTTTGACATATGTTGGGGAACTTCGTACTGCAGGATTTCGCATAAACATTTAAACAAACTAGCACAGAGAACATGGTTTATTCTGTTGCAGTAAGAATAATAATTTATTCTGAAGAACATGGTTTTGGTGGGATATAAACAAAGAGATTTGAATACTTGCTGAAAACTGACTGCTAGACCCGACTTATACAAAATCTCCAAAGCTGCTTCGGTCATCTCCCAAAATGCTTTGGTATTTTGTGTGCCTTAACTAAGTTAGAAAATTAATTCGAGA